GAGAGCGACAGCCTCAGGAGCGATCACACTTGTGTATGCTGGTGCATTAACTCACCAAAGCAAACACACAACCACACAAAAGGTAAAAGGGGAATGTCTGCGCTGACACACACACACACACACGCAACGCCTCTGCAATCTCTATAACATGTCATATAAGTAAAAAAAAAGGTGAGGTGAGGTTTCACTGTGGCTTTGAAAGACTCCAGATAAAAAAAGATCCATGTTATGGTGTCGTCTTAGTTTAAGGGGTGAGGGGGGGTGACGAGCACAGAGAGCCTATCAAAAGCAGATTTGTCTCCATTCTTCCTTACTGTATCTTTTTTTTTTTTTTTTCTTTCAGTCAAAAGTGTCTTCGCTATCAGAGCGACAACGGTGGCGGCGTCAGATTCACAAAGCTTCACACAGGTCGAGCTCCTTTTTTTCTTTTCCTTCTCACCCGCCGCCTCTGATGTGTCACAACCCGAACTTCTACGAATCCCGCTCGCTTTGCTGCATTCTCGCCGTGCTTTTGGACGAGGGGAAGAAAGAAGCTCGGGTCAAGTGGCTGTTTAGCGAAAAAAAGAGTGAGCTCGATTCAAACCACTTCTCTCCATTTGCTTTATCATATCTATCTATATAATTACAAGGCATTTTCATCGTTATGGAATGAGGGCAATTACTATAAATTACGGAGGTGCTGTGGCAGCTGAGGTCCAACTGTCTCAGGCCGCCTATCCACGTGGATCCATGCGGACTTGCCATCAGATCATGACGTGATTGCAGGAAAAGAAGGTGTTTTCTCGAGATGAGACGGAGCGCGTGAGCAGAGAACCGAACGGGAAGATCACAGCGAGAGCTTGTTATGTGCTGGTGAAACATGCCGCTGTTAATGTTTGGTATTGATTATTGTCGGGTCTTTTTGTGTCAGGTATCCTTTAAAAAAAAAAGATACATTTTGATGATGAAGACCTAATGTCCGTTTAAGATTGAGAGACTTATAGTAAAGGCCACTTAAAAAGTTCAAATCTTATTGGCCTGGAAGGAAACAGCCTCAACTACCTGCTTCAAATTGTTCAGCACGAATCATCCATGTGCATCCACGTCTCAAAGAACACTTTATTTGTTTCTCTCAAATGTAAATTATTGACTGCAGCCGGTCTGATATTTTCCAAAGTCAAATTTAATAATTCCACGTATCGTGCATATATAGCGTGTTTGCATCGCAAGATTTTATTACTTATTTTTATTAAAAGAATGGGATCGTAGGAGAATATTTTTTTTCATATGACTGATTTGATAATTGGATGCAGAGGCTGGTATGCAGTTAAATGTCTGAAGGGTATAAAGTGCTTCCAAAAGACCAAAACAACAGCTTGTAATGAGCCTTTACTTTCCCCGAGTCAGTTCAGGGAAACTGTGCATACGCTCTCCGTCGGGTACACGCTGTTTGCATATCTTTACATTTGCAATCACACTGTAATGGATTATTTCTCAGGCGCAATGTTTTAAATTTAAAACATGTAACTTTGTCACACAAAACGCATGCTTTGCATAACATTGCAATATTAGTTAATTTCATAAGAACGAAAATTAACAACATTAATTCTGTTCTGCTTCAGGAGGCTGAGCGAAGAGAGATCATTTTACGACTAAATGTATGCAAATACGGTCATACATCACAGCCCATATTTCATATCGAAACACTACTTGCGATGCTCTGGCTTAAATCGTACAATTCATCTTAATCATCTAATATTTCACTTTGAGGTACTGGGGGAATTGTGTGTGTGTGTGTCTGTGTGTGTGTGTGTGTGTTAGAGTGAGAAAGACTCAGTAGACAGAGGAGCGGTGAGAAGGAAAGGCATGCGGCCGGTGGGATAAGAGCCGCATCTGCATATCAAAGAAGTCATGGAGGAACTGTAAAAAAAGAAAAAAGGTGAGAATAAAAACTGTAACTCATCCCTATAGGTGTGAATATAACGAGGGTAATGTTGAATCTTCTGGGAGCGAGTCACTCAGAGGACAAAGCTACTGTTCGTTTGACAAAAGGATTTGAAAAGCAGAGGGAGCACTTTGGAGAGACGACATGCAGTAATACACATGTTTAATTAGAGGCACTGGGAGTCAAGTACAATACTCCTGCGTGCTTAGCTTGTCTGCTCAGACTTAGAGTGATGAATAGCTCAGGGAAAAAGAAGTGGTTTTCTAAACGTTAAGTGAAATAAATTTGATCCAGCCTATAATGTACAGACAGAAACAGAGGGGTGATGCATGCAAAACACCTTCTGGTGAAGTTCATTTTTTTTTCATTTCCACTGCAGTAACTGCTGATCTGTGTACAGAAAGTTTCACCGCATATATCAGGTTTATTCGGCACCTTCCTGCACAGTCTCTCTTATCTGAAGAGGCACATCCAGTAGGAAGTGCACTTTGTCTGTCATCTGCATGTAATTAGTGAAGTGGGCTTCCATCTGCAGGGAACATGATAAGTGCGATGAAGTAGGCATCGTGCAATTAGCAGGGAAACATTTCCTGCTTTAAGGAACAGGTGCAAATTGCACAGGTGTAATAAAATAGAGGTTGAGGTGGTGGAGAGAAAATGTGGTTTGTCAGCTGTATTACACAGAATTGATGCAGTGGACAAAGTGTACCTGCACCAAAATAAAACTAGATGAGGGGTAGCTGCCCTGATTTAGCGTCTATGGAGGATAAATATCCACAAGGCCTGATCAATTTAAGAGGCAAGGCGAAGCCAGAGTCACAGCATTTTGATGTAGATTGGGGGTCCGCAACCAATATAGCAAAAACATGGAGTCTTTTGAGTTTTGATACACAATGGCGGTTTGTGAAAGACACTTTAAATTCCATTTGGATATTTGAAACTGAATGGAGCAGCAGCGGGGGAAGCGAGGTTGGCTACACGTGGATGGGACATTTTAAAAGTACTTGATTTATTTATTACGTTTCAGGGGAAACGTTTGAAAACCACAAGAGCTGAAATAATCAAAAACAATTATTTGTATTTCTTTTCTGCTTGTAATCTCTCTGTACTATCCCACCGATATAAAGATGATCTGATCTTTCATTGCTTATCTAGCGTGTAGAGGTAATTGAGTTGTTTGAACTTGTATTTTTTACCCTGCTGGAGCCATGACAAATTCCTTTTGGGGCCCCCCGTAACCCACCGCGTGGAACGGGATTACAGAAAACCCACTGGGCAACTGGATCAAGAGATTCCTTTTGCTTTGGTTTCAAAACACTCAAACTTTCGTTTTGTGTCTATCATACTGTAATCTTCAACCTTTGTGGATGATTTGTAGAAACTATTTCAAGCTCTTTGATTGTTTGGTGATCGAAGCTAGTAACCCCCCCGTTTAAATGCTATTTCTTCTTTTGTCAGCGCGAGTTGTCCCACCTTAAAACATGCGGTTCTTCAGCACGTCAGAGATATGCCGCAAAGCTCTGCTAAACGGTTGACTCTTAATTCATGTTATAGAAACATTTGTGCCAGTGTTTTTGTCTCATGCAAATGCTATTTTATTATGAGAATGATTTGTGTTTACTGGCCGTCTTTCAAAAACAACTGAATATACTGTGTGTAGCAGCCTGCTTACTTCCTACGTAGTTAAGGCTGCCAGCACCCCGAAGGCATCGTCCAGGAAAGATGTAGACACAATTTTGCGTGAGTAAATACATTTAACTGCTTCGTCTGACAGGCATTCATACTGCGAATAAAACAATGTAATGGCAGAAGTGAATTTTCATCCACCTTTTCAAAGCAAATGCGTCTTTTAGGAAGTATGTGAAATTACTGGGGCTGAATTATAGTGCATTTCTGAGAAGACTTTACAAGAGAAATGGTTCCAAAGATTGATCGCTCGCATTCTTTTTCTGTAGCTTCTTTCAATGAATAGGCTCACTTTTTACAATAATTGCGACGATCCCCGTCTATAGACAGTACAAAAGGAAAATACACAAACGTCGATGCATTGATCTAAATCATTATAAACAAAAAATAACCTGTTCTCTGTTGCAATGTAAGCTGCATGCAGTGAGCCATATATGCTGTGGAAATATGGAACCACAACAATACATGTTACAAAAGGACCCCAAGGACCTGGAGCGGACACATAATGTGGCCGTGTTTAGCCAAGCGCAGCTTTTGTGACCCGTACAGGGCCGAAGAGAAGAAAAGCATTTCACGGTTACTTGAAAAACTGTGTCGATATATATATATATATATATATATATATGTATACTACACACTATACACACTGTGTATGTGTGTGTGTGTGTTTCTGAGCAAATACAAGACGGAGTCGGAGGAAGCAGGATATAGACACAGTGTGTTTTTGTGTGTGCTCTGTTTGTGCATAGATACTCCTTAATCATCCCTTTGTGATTACAGGAGCATTTCACCACAAACAGCACGGGACTTATCAGAGGGAGCCAGGTTTTCAGAGGGCTGACAGTTTAGCGGAGAGGGGGTGGGGGGGTACTGCAATGGGGTAAGTCTCAATCCTCACTCAACCAGCACTTTGTCATCCCCTTCTCAATCTCCCTCTCACGCACACACCCATCCGTGCGCACACAGACACGCACCACCCCCCACCCCCCCCCCCCCCCACACACACACACATCTGTGCAAACACAGATGTGGCATCAGAACAGCGAACCCTGACTACTGATTCCTCCGCTGAGCTCGCTGCGACATTCTATCTTTCCTCCAAACCCGCAAAATGGTGAAAGACAACGCTTACTCCTGGCGGTGTGTCTTTGGAGACACGCAACCATGTTAACAGTTTACATAATCTACACCAGCTGAATTATTCAAGTAAAGCTTTTCAAAGTTGACACAAAAAGAAAACTGAACGGAAAGAAAAATAATTCATTTGAAAAATCAAAATCAGTTTAAAAAAAAGGAAATTAAAATATGTTGTATAGATAGTAACATTAGGAAAATGTAGACCAATCAGAATCTGTGCGAGTGTAAATGTGTGTACTTGCAAACTACTTACCGGAAGGTCATTTGGAATATCTGTTCCAGGTTGACTTGCTTGGTTTTGTTGTTGTATCCATGTAGCATCTCAACAAACAGGGTGTCATTGAAGTGAACATCCTGCCTGGGGCACTTTTGTCCCTCACAGTTGTCTGACAGCAAGAGGCAAGAGCGCCCATCGCCTGCCAATTTGTACTCCTGCACACACCTAAGGAGGACGGAAACTCAGTCACTATATGAGTTGTTATACATACACCCTTTGGATGAAAGCATATCAATGTGTAGTTGTCAGCAAGAACGTTGGATGATGACATGTTGCAAACGTTGCAGGTTCATTAAACAGCAAAATAAAAATGACGAGGGGTCTAAGTGATTGACACTTAGTTGTTTGAACCACTACATTGATGTTTCATAATGGAACCGACAAACTATCAAAGCCACAGAACAGAAAAGTACCGAGCCAATGCCTTAGCCCTCTTTTTATTGCCTTTACGTCCTACAGCACCAACCATCTATTCGTGGACAGAACCCACCCGACTAAGTGTATGAAAAAGCGTTGTATGTCCAGGATGTGCAAAATAAACGTTGCTTTCTTCTGCTTTTATTGCTGTGAGCTTGAATCCAGCCCACTGAGCAATTGTAGTAAAAAGTTATGAACTCATATCTCCTCCATTTATCTGCGCAATCCTCCGTAACAGTCAAAATAGAGTATCTGCTGATGCTAAAGAGTACAATTCTGCAGAACATCAGGTCTTTTCAACACAATCTGGAAAACGCAGCAGACACAGCTTCTTCCTGTTGGATGGAGGTGAGGCCTGTTCTCTTTCTTTAGACATCCATTTATTTTACAAAAACATTTTAGAAACTATCAAGGCTTGACCCATCTTACTGGAGTGTTATTAGTAGAAATCTGTACAAAGATGACAGATAAGATGAGGGAGAAAACATAAAACCTGTGTAAAATAGTACACTTTACACCCGTCTCCAAATACTAATTCCCTTTAGATTCCTATTCCTCGGGACACGCTCTAGTTCTAGTGGAAGTTGAACAGAAAGCTGAGTCTATATATTCAGTGGAACATGTAGGGAATGAGGAAGAGGGCCTTCGGACAGTGAATGTAAGAAGAAGAAAAGTCTGAATGGTTCAATAATCCAGGTTTAATCACTGGTGCCCCTTTTGAATAGTGCATTTAAACTGAATACACGCAGGTATGAAAGAATTTATCAAAGCTTGAGATCAGTTGGCCAGCCAAGCAATTACGTAAAAATATGCGATCTTGGGCTAATGCCTTTCATCACATACAGTGACATATAATCATTCGCTGATTACACACTGGTCATTTTTCTATTTGCTTCATTTTCCTGAGGAATAATTTCTTAATATCACAGAAATATTACTCACAGAGCCAGTTTCACGAGGAAGCATTATATCTACCCCGCAGACACCTTCCAATTTATTTACTGCTAGTTTTTCTCACCCACAAAACATGAGTACGTTGCTGGAACCAGGGTCATCTTCAAGGGGCACAAGCTGCTGGAGACACAGCTGTTCACAGCCTCCATTGAAGCCATCCGTGCAGTCAATGCCCCTGGAGTAGTCATAGCAACCTGAGCCATCCTTCATTGGCCTCAGCCCCTCAGGACACTGCGAGAAAAGAGAGACAGTGAAATAAGTGGAGGTGGCGAGGGGGGAAGGAATAGATCAGGGCAGGGAGAAGAGAGTAAGGCACAGAGGTCAGCGTGTGGATTTTAATCAGGACGAGGCGGCACCGAGGAGGGAGAGACAGTGATATTGTGGGAGAGATGAGAGAAGACAACTGGGCAATGGGATATTTAGGAATTCAAAGATGGAAGGATAAAAAAATGTTGGCGTACAGAGGGTAGCGTGAGGAATGTGATGGGACATGCATCACTCAGTTTCACACACCAGGGTTTCCAGGTATTCTTCTCCTAAGTTCACCTAATACAAAATAGAAAACCCAGCTCAGTACGATGAACGGTGTTGTGTATATTTAAACTTCAAATTTCTACTTTCCACTTAGAGAAAAGACACCGTGCTTCTCAGACATGAAGTTTCTCTCCGATTTGTTTGCCTGCCTTTTGGTTTTTCTCCTCAATGAAGAGATCAGCTTTAGGCGTGTCCACTGAGCCCGAGGCTCTGCCGAGTGGGTGTCTGGAGCCCTGTGGCAGGATGGCAGATCGCTCCCACCAGCCTGCCCCGCAGCCCCGCGCAGCGTGTTCACACGATCGGTGTAGTCAGCAGTGAAGGTCGGGACCTGCTTGTGTTCAGCTCTATATGTTTATATTTTTGGGTTTGTGCTACAGCACGTTTTCATTGGTTAATGTTCAAGAAACACATGATTTGCCTTGTACCAGACTGCCGACTGAAGAAGAAAATAACAAACTGAATAGGTTGTCTTATTTCACAGTTTTATGGTTGGTAGCGACCGAAGATACCCAAATGTATTTGCACAAAATCCTATTAAGATATGTATATATATATATATATATATATCCTAACTTCACATTGGCATTACATTTGAGAAGCAGCATAAGAAACACACATTTTAACATGATGCAAGCAGCAGATGCATTCTATAACAAAGATGGCTTCCATTAATTTTAAGTTTAAAAAGTATTTATTCAACATTCTTTTAAGCAAGCATATAACTTAGTGAATGACAGAATGAAAATGTGTTGGTTGTTTTGAATGTTGCTTTAATAAGACAAGATCTTTCTTATTAGGATTATGTTTATTGTAACTGGGTATTCTCTTTACTTAATCATTTTTAACAGCGTTTCTATGGTCCAAACTTCTTCATATACACATATATTGTGCTATATTTGCAGGAGCAAAGAGTTCCACTTAACGCTTCATCAAAAGTATATCATATTGTAAATTAATTGTTTTGCATTACTGACACAGGATTTCGAAACGAAGGAAAATTAGCTGTCACATGCGGCGATGCGCCACTAGACAACCTCAGCCCATCAGCAACATATTCACAACAACACTAATTAAAGAATTGCCCTTGAGTGTTATTGCGGTTTGTGCCAGTTTACCACTATTTCTATACTAGAAATGTCTTCTCTCGTAGGAGGGACTGGAATTTACAGTTTGGTAATGTGCTGTTTCTGTGCCGCACTATATATGCAATCATAATAAATCAGGTATCAGAGGCTGCACAAACCGCCACAACTTATAATTCAGTTGATGGCTGCTGCTATTAACAGTTTATATTCACTGTAAAAATGGTCGTATTTGAATAATTGATGGGGTTTCACAAAATTCAATTTACACTCCGCCGGTAAAATGTTTAATTTTTAACAAGGAGCATTTTCTTTCTCAGAATCGAAAGTACTGCTGTCATTTCCCCTTTGGGTGTGTTGATGCAACACTTCTGTTGGTTTAAAATGAAGACCGTGATATTTCACAGTTTGCAAAGCACTGTTCACCGCTCTTCGCTGACTAATCCTCGTGTTCCGTCTGTGCCTGTGTGGGATTGATTGGAGGTGTGTGAGGCGTGATGACACACAATGCAGTGAGGCGTGATAACACACAATGCTCGTCTGGTAGGTTTTGGGGTGTTTTAAACAAATAAAGAAGGCCAGGCCTTTGATTCATGTGTCGACTTTTTTTCATCAAGCAAGTCAAATGCGTTATTTTCTGTGCTAGAAAGAAAAGAAGAGGCCGCCCTGCTGTGGTCCACCGATGCACCAGACAGAAATGCGGCTGTCCTACCTGCAGCCTGAGAAGAGGGATTTTTTGTACGATATGTGATGACATGAATCGCACATGATCGCATAATCATCACAAGAATCCAGCTGCTGTACCACTTCATTCAGATATCCGAGTTACAAGAAGGCCCGTGTGCTGCTGTGAATAGAATCCTGGTCTGATTGACGTACTGTAGAAGGAGACTCGTACCTGGAGGAGTCTTTTTGCCACACTTAATCTGCTGCTGGCTTTACATAAGCAGATTGTCAATATCTGCAGTCTATGCCACGGTGCGCCACGGCCTTTTACGCTGTGATTTATGGTCTGTGGTTAATAGTTCTATCAGGCCATGTCACATGTCACAGACACCACTGGAATAAACGCTCTGTAGTTCAAATGAATTCAAATCCCCTTGTGACCAAAGAACCAAACTAACGGATCGTGAATGCCAATATGTCTTCTTCTGCAAGGTCCTTGAGGTCAGCAGTAAAAAAAGATGTTCTGTCTTTCACTAAAGCATGGGCCAGGAAAGAAGAAGGCGTCGTTTTGTGGGGTTTTATAATGGTTATGCAATGCAGAAGCAAACATTAGGGAGGGAAATCGAGTCAGAAATCAGACGACGCAAACAGAGGATTGAGTTTACCAACGTGAGAGATGTTGAACAACAACAACTTATTGTGGCCAGGAAGTGGAAAATGAAGAACTATAAACACTATTTCCAGTTCCATTCATCACTTTTGCCTACGAAACATTTTTGTTACATTGTAAATTCTCAGAGAAAGAGCTCTGGACCTGATCAAATCTTTTACTGCTTGCCCGATATGTGTACAGCTGTCTGCGTCATCTCATCAGCGAATACAAAACATTACTAAATGTGAAACGTCCAAAGCCTTGATATCAAGGCTTCTCCAGAAAACATCAAGGATTTAAGATTTGAATGCAGGAAGGTGAAACAACGAGAGAAAGCGCAGCTATTTGAGCTGAGGATGATTCATTCTGATGTTTGGAAGACCCTCACACGCATGACAGGCTTTAATTCAGACTAATTTTCACCTCAAGGTTGTTTCTTCTGACTTAACCACAAATATTTTAGGATCCAATATCATTTACAATCCGCCGCCAACAACGTCTCAACTAACAGTAATTGTTACGTTCCCCAGTTTTCTGTGTTTGGTGGCTTTGTTTTGTGCCTGACAGGTGATTGATTCCAGGAGCAGCAGTCCCCAGACTGGAGATCTGGCCCATCAACAAAACTGGAGATGGCTACTTCAGCCATCTCCAGTTTTGTTGATGTCCCCTCAGTCGCCGCAGCGATCCCCCGTTCCGCTGGCCGCCGCAGCGATCTCCCCTTCCCGCTGGGCCGCCGCAGCGATCTCCCCTTCCGCTGGGCCGCCGCAGCGATCCTCCCGTTCCGCTGGGCCGCCGCAGCGATCCTCCCGTTCCGCTGGGCCGCCGCAGCGATCCTCCCGTTCCGCTGGGCCGCCGCAGCGATCTCCCTCGAGCTCTCAGTCCCAGCCCGACTCGACAAGTCCCGCTCCGAGACTCTCAGTCCCTGCCCGACGCCCCAGCTATCGCGTGTTTAAGTACTGGGTTACGTTTGGTTGTTTTGTCGCAAACTAGAGGTTTGCTGTTTTTGGGGTGGGCGTGTTACGTTCCCCAGTTTTCTGTGTTTGGTGGCTTTGTTTTGTGCCTTGACAGGTGATTGATTCCAGGAGCAGCAGTCCCCAGACTGGAGATCTGGCCCCACCCACTCGTCAGTGGCTGCACCTGGATTCCTTCCCTCGCAACACATAAAGTGGTGCCATTTTGTTATGAAGCGGTCGCTCGTTGGGTGTGGGTTGTAGAGCAGAGAGTGACTTGGAGTCTCTGTTAAATCTTGTTCTGTGTGCTTGTGAAAGCGCTCTTCTCATTTGTGTTTAATCCTGTTTTTTTTGTCTTTTGTTCCCAGGGAAAAGGGGAAGCACCTTGGGAGTGGGTAGGCAAGCTGCCCATGGGTCTACACCACCCGTAGTCATCCTCCTGTCTAGAAACACTAGGCAAGACCTGGGCGGACCACCCCCTGTGTTTGGTTAGTGAGCCTTGCTAGTGCTCAAGCTAGGTTAGGGGGGGGGTGTTTCAGGTCAGATAGGCAAGAGGGACTATTTTGTTTTGTTCATTGTTTTGGTTCCGCCCAGCCCCTTTTCCCAAGCAACCCGTATATATAGATATCTATTAATAAAACATTCCTTTTTACGGGTTATATGTGTTCTGGTCGTCCGTGTACCTACACGCACCACACCTCTTTCCCCCATTTCCACATTGAGATGACGAGCGGCGGGTCGTTGCGTTCCCTCCTCCACGAGGCGTGCGTAACAGTAATCAAGGGTCTGTCTTCTTCTGATTCATCTCTTGCTATTAAGACTTTTACTAATCATCACATCAAGACCAGACATAATGCTGCTTTCCTTCGTAGAGTACAAATGAATGCAGAAATATATTGTATGCATATTTTATCTCTTCCGCCAAACAATTAAAACAGTTAACAGAGCGGCAGACCTCGTGCATTCAACACACAGGTTCATTCTACAGTCTCAGACCCATGTACTCTATCGCATGAAGGTAGTGCTAACTTCCCGAGCAGAACAGGATTGGAGCCATTCATCACTTCGAGGCCGAGCTGTGGGAATAGCTGCCTGTGACTCAGAAGCCGCCATGCGTCACTCTGCGGTTATCCAAAAAGTACCCAAGGTTAGCCATTAGCACCGGCCACCATTTCCTCCCTAACCATGAGAAAGTGTAAGTAAGAAAGCAAGGAATATTAAGTACAGACAAAAACCTTCTCCCTTCACATTGTAGTGTGTAATGCACGGATCACCCTCACGAATTAAAGTAATTTTCCTAATCACCCATTGCTTCACTCAGCTTTAATCCGGAACTGAGCAATATCT